TCTGCATGCTAGAGAACCACAGAACCTGGTAGCTGCTCAGTCCAAGGAGCCTTAGAGCAAGTAGAACCAATTGATACAGCCCCAGCCTGAGGCTGAAGGCCTGGGATCTCCCTGAAGAGTTGATGTGAATCCAGGATGAAAGACTGAAGAAGCTAGAATCTGATGTCCACGGGTGATGACAGCAGCAATGGATGCACTAGCTCAGGAAGCATGGATCTTGTACATATATTCTTTCACTGTATCATTTTGCATTTCAACCGGTAATGAATGCTGTTGAGAATTCTGCTGACAGTCTGATTCATTTTCTCTGCAAGTTTTTGGAATTATTAATAATAATTTTATTATTTATGAAATAATACATCTGGTTGTAAGTTTTTCTTTCTCTCTTAACGGACACTCTCTGATCCCTTTTAATCTTAGGTCTTTTAGTTTCTATATTGACTCTTTCTAGAATATTTCCTCCTATTTTTTTCCTTCTCTTCTAGGATGCTTATGTGAATGCTGGCATTTCTACTTCTGTCCTCCACAATTGTTATATTTCTTCTTATACTTTCTATTTCACTTCTTTTTTTAAAAGACAGGGCCTTGCTGTGTAGCCCAGGCTAGCATCAAACTCACAATCTTCCTGCCTCAGTCTCCCAAGTGCTGGGATTACAAGTTTGTCCCAGCAGGCCTGATGTTACAATTGTTCTTTCTTTTTTCTTTCTTTTTTCAGTACTGGGGCTTGAGCTCAGGGCCTACACCTTGACCACTCCACCAGTCCCTTTCTGTGATGGTTTTTTTTCAGGATAGGGTCTTATGAACTATTTGCCTAAGCTGGCTTCAAACTGTGATCCTCCTGATCTCTGCCTCCTGAGTAGCTAGGATTACAGGCATGAGCCACCTGTGCTTGGCTTTTATTTTTTGGCAGTATTGGAGTTTGAACTCAAGGTATCACACTTGCTATGCAGGCACTCTGCCACTTGAGCCACTCCACAGCCCTTTTTGTGTTGGTTATTTTTGAGATAAGGTCTCGCTTTATGCTGGGACCAGCCTGGACTGTGATCCTCCTATTTGTGCCTCCCAATGTTGCTGGGATGACAGGCACATGCTATAGCACCCAGCCATTGGTTGAGATGGAGTGTCAAGAACTTTTTGCCCAGGGTGGCATCAAACCAAGATCTTCCGCATCTCAGCCTCCCAAGTATCTAGGATGAACATGTCTGGCCAGTTTCTATTTCTTGGTCCCTTTCCTACTGCCTTTGTCAAAAGTTTGTTGAGCTGATTGACAGTTTTCTCTCCAGCAGAATCTACCCTGTTCATCTCATCTATTGCTTTCTTTGCTCCAACTGTTTTTTTCATATTTGGTATTTCTGCTTGGTTCTTTTAAAAATGGTTTATTTGGGCTGGAGATGTAGCTCAAGTGGTAGAGCACTTGCCTAGAAAGAACAAGGCCCTAAGTTCAAACTTCAGTAGCACTGGGGAAAAAAAATTTCTTGTTCTTACCTCATGTTACTATCACCCTCCCTTACCTCACATAAACCTAAAGCTAGAGCCCATCTCTTCCAGCAAACCTGCCTCAGATTTGTGTGTGTTGTCTACTTTACCATCTGTTTTTTAGCAGTGTACTTGTTTAGTCTGTTTGCCAGTTTCCACTGGGGGCACTGTGATTCAGAATTAGGAAGTAAGTCCTGCAGAAGAGCTGAAGGCAAGCCTTGATCTACATTGGGGTCCTGACTTTAAGGTGAGGGATGGGGCTCCAGGCACCACAAAGCTTCTGTGGGATGCTGTGTACCTCCCCTGACTGGGTCCCTTCAGAAGGGAAGCAGCACCAGGAGGAGGCATCTCCCTGGATGTGCAGAGCTGTGGGGGGCAGGCAGTGATTCTCTCTTCCAACCCAGCTTCTCACTTTTATCTCTCCCCACCCCCACACACTGCCTCCCCTACCTCTTCCACCCATTTCCAGAACCCCATATATCCCCCTTAGTTCTATAGTTTCTCCAGAGATGATGTAGAGATTGAGAGGGGCAGCCATGTTGGCAGGAAGTCATCACCTGGTCTGTTCTCACACCTGACCTGCCAACCTCCAACTTTGATGCACAACTCTGCTTGCTGTACACACTCATCTTGGTATTCCCTTCAGAACAGACTGACTGTGCTGGCTCTACCCAGATTTCACTCACATACATTTCCCCAGAATGGGACAGCCTCCCTCCCAACACTTTCTTGTATCCTGAAGGCTTCCTATTGGGCTCCTCATTCCAGTTTATGGACAGGAAAACTAAGTTCAGTGAGAAATCCTAGTGCTTATCCTGCTGGGAGAGAAGGAAAAGCCCTGAAGGGATTGTGAAGTGAGCTGAGGAGCGTGGGTGCCAGTGTGTGGTGACAGCTCTTGCTCTGTGTTTCAGGAGAGAACCCAGAAGTGTGAACTTCTGTCAGAAGAAGCCTCCCCTGACATCCTTGATCCTCCCCACACCCCTTCCCTTCTCTCCCCAGGTGCTGCCCAGAGCCTGGTCTCAGTGGCAATGGCTGCCTTCTCAGCATGAGGCCCCAGCTCCGCCCCAGAGCAGACCTCTCACCCTGCCACCTTCCTGGACCTGCACCCCCTCCCAGGAGGCTGCAGTGAGGCTGTGAAAACAGCATCTTTCACCAAGCTCTCTCAGCTTACTCCCACCCCACTTGGCCACCTCATGCTCTCCTTGGCTTACTTCCCCCCCATACCCAAGACCCCACCCTCACCCCAAACCCTACTCAGCTCTGTCTTAAGGAGAGTGAGCACAGCCCCTGCCCCTCCCTACCTCCCAGCCTGCTCTCTTGGTCTGTCTGCAAGGACCTCACCTCCTCTCCCACCTGATCTCCCCCCAGAACTTAAAGACACCCCTGAGCCAGAGGCTCCTCTTGATCCTGCTCTGCCTCTCCCACCTCACGAGTATGACCAAGGCTTGCAATGCTCTCTTGGGTTTATTTCATGCACACAATAGGACTGGGGCATCAATTCTGCCCACCTTTGACTACAAGGCTAGCCCTGCCTTTCCTAGGGGACTGTCTCAGGAGACCACTTAGCAGGCAGAAACCCCCAGGAGACACAAGGTCTTATGCAGGTAGAACTGATGGACCTCAGTCCTATTCAGAGAACAGGCTTATTTTCCCTGTGGAGTCTGTATACAGTGTAGGTTTTAGAGTGTGTGTGTAAAGACAGAATGAATATGTGAGGCCGTGTGTGCGAGTGTCGGGACAGGAGTGCCGCTGTGTGTGTGTGAGTATGAGCGAGCTATAGATGGCTGCACTGGAGTGAAGTTAGCACCACAGCACATCTGGTGAACCCTTCTCTGACCTCTGGAGAGGTGAGGGGTGAGGATTCTGAGGAGTTGGTGCCACCTGGTGACCATGGTCTGCACTGCAAGCCACAAGCAACTTCTTCCTCCCTGTCCCCCAATACTCTTTCTCTCTGCCTCTCTCTCAATTCTCTCTCTCTCTCTCACACACACACACACACACACACACACACACTCCTTCTCTGCACCTTCATCTGAGCAGTTTCTTCTCCCATGAGTACCTGTATCCTCTTACCAGCTCATCTTTCTTCTGTGGTTCTCAGGGTGGTGATTCTGCCTGGACCCCCATGGTCAGGCATCCAGGGAACTTGTCATGGCCCATGTCTGAGTTGGATCTGTCTCCTCCTCCACCAAAGTGTAGACAGTGGGGCAAGGGCGAAGTTAACTCTGAAGCCTCAGCTCAGGGTCCTCAATGCCCGAGAAAATTGTATGTGGGTTGATCACTTAATTTGGTGATAAGGAGGGTGTGTCACAACACAGGCATCAAGGAATGACAGCTGGAGGGTTAAGGGGGCAGCAAGCCCCTAGGGTTTATACGCAGGGTGTGTTTCCCTTTCTGCAAACGCTTACAGAGGAGGGACATACGCACATACGAGGTTGGTGGCAAGTGCAGAACAGCAGCTATGTCAGTCCACAGTGCCACCCCTATGTCATCCTGGCACCATTAGAACAACCATCTCCTGCGACTCCTAGACAAAGAAGTGACACCTACTCCTTCCAGGGAGCCCCCTGGCCAGGCCTGGATCCTGTGCTATGAAAGACAGAGACAGCCTAGGGAAGCCCATAGAAGGCCTGAGAAGGGGACAAGCTTGGAACCCGTGTCCTAAAGGAAAGCTGGAACCATTCAGCACAGAGACCGTATTCCAAACCTGACGAGCTGTGAACAGATGCAGTTGATGGAATTTGTGGTTCCAAAGGAGAGGCTGGCATCCGTCAGGCATTGCTCTGGTCACAGGATGGCCTGTCCATCTCCTCCCAGGCTGCCCTCCCCCCAGGAAAGGAGACCGTGGTGTTCAGCCCCTTTACAGATCAGCTGGTCAGGGAGATATAGGACAAGATTGGGCAACTGGTGGGCAGGGCCTGGAGACTTTGCCAATCAGAGCCTCCTCATGGCCCCAACCTGGAGCCTGCCACTCTGTGCAAAGGCAAAAGCTCACCTGGCCAGGCAAACTGGTGCAACCCAGGTCTGGATCTAATGTAGAGGCAGTCCTAGGGGTACCCCTTCAACAAGAGTCAAAAAAAAAAAAAAACTGGGATACAGGACTTATAGGGATACACGTTATCCCTGAAGCTAAGGAGAGGCTCAGAGGCCCAAGCCCTGACCATATGAGCAGACTATCACACAGCAGGTATAGAAGGAGCTCCAAGCTCCCTCCTCCAGGAAGCCTACCTGACTGCTTCAACCTCTCAGGTCTGCCTTTGCAGTTCATAGTCTCTACCAACCAATGCTTCCCCTCACTGCTCCATGCCTGGGCCTTTTCATCTGCCTCCCACGGCTAGCCATCACCATGTAGCATAGAGCCATCCCAGGGTGTATGAAGCCCCCCAGAAAAGGGGCTAGGCATAAGGAGTGGGGGCTCCAGTAGCCAGGGATCTCCAGAGGATATTTGCCTCTCCCAGTTCTGTTCCCCTCATCCCAAGCACAGAGTCTACAGACAGCCCCCTGGGGGAGTGCTGGTAGAAAGAAATAGATTTATTCTCATATACAAAGCAGTCAGCCCACGGGACCACATACAACAGGTGCACAGAGTCCTAGAAAAACGCATCTCTCTAAAGGCAACTCAGAGTAGGTAAGGCAGGTGGCCCCTTCCCTGCCCACAACACACACGGACGAAACAAGAGAGAAGCCAGCAGCCGGGCTGACCCAAGAGGCCCGGCCCTAGGGAGGGTCTCCCAAGCCCTGGGCACAGGTGGATATGGCCTTGAAGAGGAGAGAGGCCTGGCCAGGGTGAGGCCAGGTCCCTCTCTGGTGGCAGGAATGGAAGAGGGGCTCAGGCCAAGGAGTACACTCAGGGGACACGGAGGGACTCAGGGTTGGGCTCTGTGCTCTAGGGTGTGACAGAGACACTCCACAGCCTCTGCTGGGACTCCATGGAGCATGGAAACTTTTATCTCAAAGGGATCTTACAGAACAGATGTTCTTACCCTCCTGTCTTGCCCAGAGAAGGAAGGAAATTGCCCAGGGTCACACAGCATTGGAAGCTTTGCTGGCACACCTGGGCTTGTCTCCCGGTGTGGGGATCCTTCCTGCTCAGCATCTGATCTGCTTTCTGCCTGGGCCCCCTCTCCCCAGAACACTGAGCTACCTGGCTGGTGGGTCCCTGTCCTCCTGGGACCCCTGTATCTTCAGATCCCAATCCCACCAGAGGCATAGCAGTGGTCCTCAGGGCCACCTCCACCCCCGGCTGTTTCTAGTCCTCCAGCAGAATGGGTGGCTGTTTTCCCACTCTCTGCTCACACAGATGTCCCACCTTTCCCCTTGCATGAAGATCCTGGAGACCCCAGGAAATGGGGTTCCCCCAGGGGAAGCAGGGTCAGGAATGGGGCACAGAAGGAACCATGTGGACTGCTCAGAGAAAGAGTGGCTTGGGTGTGGTCAGAGAGGCAGAGCGGGGCCCACTACTCATTGGTCACCCCTATGCTTCTTGAAGGATAAATGGCAAAGTCTTGCAAGGCTGGAAGTCTTGCTTCTGTTCTATAGACAACAAAGGTGAGGTCCAGGAAGGGCAGCATGTGCCCAATCACACAGGACGTCCTGGTCTAGAAGCAGGACCCATGGCTCTGGTTCCCAGTGCATCAGGTCAGACTGGTGGTAGGTTGTGGGAGGAGAGCCGGATAGGGAGAGTCCTGGGAAGGGATCACTCAGCATCAAGGCTGCAGCAGCCATTGACAGGGGCTCTGGTGCCATCCAACTGGGGCACCTCATACTCCTCATCCAGGAAGTCCAACGAGTTGTTGCTTGGGAGACCACGGATGGTGAACTTGTGGGACACCTTGGTCCAGTGCTCACGGTTAGAGGCCACACGCTCGTACAGCTCTGCTGCCTTGGGGAACAGGTCCTGCAACACCCTGGGGGGTTAGAGGTCAAAAATCAGAACAGAGACAGCAAGAAAGATGTGGACTGCACCACAGGTAGGACGTCCACAAGCCTGTGAGTCATGGGACAGGCACAGAGGAACGCATGATAAGGACCAAAGTATGAACTGAAGGTCCCCATGAGGGGGCAAAATGGGACACAGCTGTGGATCCAGTGGAGCTGGGCCATGATAAACTCAGCACCTGTGTTCACTGTGATGTTTGCATCCGGCCCTGCGCTACCCCACCCTCTCTGTGTGCAGTCCCCAGCCATGCCATGACCTTACTTGTAGATGGGCATTGCAATGTGCTCCATGAAGCTGATCTGTAGCTCGGGGATGTAGGCCTTCTCCCGGTCCATCATCTCCATTGGTCGGTTGCCCATGGCCTTCTCCTACAGGCATCAGGTTGTCAGGCCTGCCCTCTTGTTCCTCCACCAGGTACCAGGCAAGTCAGGTGAACCCAAGCCCTCCCAACCACAGGCTCCAACCCGGGCATCCTGAGATCACACCACACATACCAAATCTCCCTGCGAGAAGAATTCTTTGTAGATCAGCTCCTGGAAGGCAATACTCTCATCACATCCTGCAGGTGGGATCCACCCATCCAAACCCATTCCCATGACAGCAAACAAAGGCCCGGTGACTCAGTCCCACCAGGACCCTTGATGAAGTGAAGTAGTCGGGTTCTGGCCTACCTTTCACTAGCCACTGACTTGCTGTGTGATCCTAGGTAAGCCTGTGCCCCTCTCTGAGTCTCTTCATCTGCCACCTGAGATGGTCTAGGTTTCCATCTCCCCAAATTCAGCCAAGATGAGCTCAACACACAGAGGGTGTCCAGAGTCAGGGGCCCCAAGGGTTGGGCAGAGTCTGGAACCTGTGCCTTCCTGGGGAAGGGAGCACTTACTGCGATTTTTCTGGTCGTCTTCCAGCCCTTGGTCTGGTCAGAGAGGTCACAGGAGGTCATCAGAAGGCAGAGGAGGAGCCTGTGGTGCTGCTTGTTGGTTCGGTCATAACCCACTGTTGCAAGACGACAGGGTCAAGGATGGGTCAAGTCTCCTTGTCCCCTCTGATCAAGGCTCCCAGGACCCACCCCAAAGTGGGCCTGGGAACTAGGCACTCCTGATAGGAGCCAAGGGGCCAGTGTTGGATCTGCCTGGAGGGGTAACACAACCAGGTAAGGGTTGACGCCGGGAGGGGATAGGTCTGAACCCCTGGAGATGCTCCCCAAAGAGATCCCCACCCCGGGCCCCCCCATCCATCCCCAGGAATAACGGTGAGCACCTTCAGCCATCTTCTGGAGGTCCTTGAAGATCCGGAGGTGATGGGCCAGGTCTGTGGCCAAGATGATATCCCGCATCAGGTCCAGCATGCGCTGATAGTCCTGGGGCAGGCCGGGGGAGGGGCGTCAGGGCCTCCTGCTGGACCCGCCCTCCCATTTACCCCCCTATTCACCGCCCCCAATTAGCCCCACCCATTCGCCCCACCCATTCGCCCTGAGGAGCCCTTCAGCTCCTGTCTCAGTCAGCTCCCACCCTCATCCCAGGTCCCACCCGTATCACCTTCCGGGAGAAGTGGTCAAAGATGTTACAGCCATGGGTGTTGAGGATGGCAATGGCCTGAGCAAAGTGGTGCCTCTGTGGGAGAAGAATGGGGGTCCCCACTGAGGCAGATGGGCTCCCCTCACCACTGACCCCAAGAAGGGCAGGAGGGCTCAGCCGAACCCTGGCCCTCAAGAGAGGTAAAGCAGGCAGAAATGGGAAGCAGATGTCCTGGTTCCCTTTCTAAGCTGTTTAAACCCTCTGTGACCCAGGGCAAATTGCTGACCAGCTCTATGCCTGATTCCTCAGCTGTCACATGGAGGGACCCAATAAGGTAAGCTCTGAGAGCCTCACAGGCTGGGAAAATTTTTGAAATGATCCCTTGAAGTCCTAGACACTAATTCATGCAGAAAACATTTGTTTGCTAACAGGGGAGGTGGTGATGAAGCAAAGGCAAGACTCTGTCTCCCAGCAGTGAAGGGCTGTCACTCGGAGGAGGAGCAGGCTCATCCCAGGGTACAGAGGGCAGAACCAGGACTGCCATGGCCTCCTGAGAGAGAGTGAGCATACATGCATCTCTAGGGGTATGCAAACAAGAGCAGTCTCTGGAAGGGTGCTATGGGAGGCAGCCTGGGGCAAGGTGACCTTGGAGATTTGGCTCCCACTTGGAGCCAACCAAAGACCAATGCCAAGTGCAGGAAACTCTAAGATGTCTCAGACCATGTCTCTGGTCCAAAGGGCCCCCTGTGGGATGGGAGGATCCAGCCCCCACAGTCTAAGGTCCAGAATCTGTTGTTGATTGTCCTGGAGTGAGCCAGTGAGGGGTATCATGGCTTCCTGCTGGACATGCCCACCCACTTGTCAGCTCCAGCTCTGGGCTCCAGAAGTGAGAGGAGTAGAGCCAATCCAGGTTTGAGGGAGTAGGGGTGCAATATGTCCTTGGTCCCTCCTTTTTTAAACCCAGCTCACTCACACCCCTACTGCCCACCCATCAGGTCTGCTCCAGGAAAATGAGCCTCACATGTCCTGCAGGTGGCAGCTCTCACCACCTGTCTGGAGAGCATAGCTTGGGAACATGGGAGCTGGGTCACAGTCTAACTTTGCAAGTCATTGCCTTATAAGGGTGAGGAGGACAAGGGCTGGACAGGATAGCAATACCTCCATGACAGAGCCCTCAGAGCTGTAGAGTGCAGCCAGCACAGATTTCTAGAAAAGTGAAGGAAAACTTCTGTCACTCCTCACATCCAGATCCAAGTGCCCACTACTGATGGAGGCTTGGCCCTGCTGCTTCCCCATCCCCAACTGCCCCTGGTCTCACCCACCCCCATCTCTCCTCAGGCTGTGAAGGGGTGAGACTCCTAGATACCCAGGGGGAGGATCCCCACTGTGAGGGGGGCAGGATCTCACCGAGGCCACTTGGAAGGAGTTGTTTGTGCCTCTGTGGTCCAGGTCATGACACATACAGGAAATAAACAAGGCAAAGATCTCGATGTCCCTGGTTAAGATGTAGAAAGGAGGAGGAGGTCAACCACAGCTGGCTCCCTGGTTCCCCTCCTCTCCATCCTGAGAGGAGAGATGGCTAATAAGATGTCCAAGAGCCACCTACATAGATGGTCTGGACACCCAGGTGTCCTTGGTGGAAAGAAGCAATGGTTTGGAGTATAGTGGCCCCAGGTGGAATCAGGCCCATTATTCACTGACTGTGAATAATGTGAGCATGTCCCTCCTGGAAAGTGGGGCTAAACTGCCTTCCTCCCTGGGCTAAGAGGACCAGATCTGTAGTGCAGGTAAAGGGCCTGCCACACAGGACCTGCTTCCCTGTCCCAGGGAGGGGACCCCAGCTGCTGCCAAAGTGGGCAGTCACTCACTCGAGGTAGTTGGTTAGCTCCAAGTTCTTATAGAGCAGGTAGCAGAAGTGGGAGACAGAAAAGGCATGCATCCAGTTGTGGTAAGGTGGATCCCGGTAGCCTTTCTTCACCATCAAGCAGAACCTGGGGGAAAAGAGAGGGTCCTCAGCCTCTCTTCCTCTGAGAAGCCCTTCAAGCTCTGCCCTGACATTCTTTTTTCTTTTTCTTTTCTTTTTTTTTTTTTTTTTTTGGCAGTACTGGGGTTTAGGGTTTAAACTCAGGACCTCATGCTTGCTAGGCACCAAGAGATAGGGTCTCACAAACTATTTGCCAGGGCTGGCCTAGACCCACAATTCTCCTGATCTCTGCCTCCAGAGTAGCTAGGATTACAGATGTGAACTGCGTCTCCTTCTCCTCCTCCTCCTCTTCCTCCCTTTTTAAGACAGGGTTCTGCTATGTAGCTGAGGGTGACCCAGAGTTCATGATTCTCCTGCCTCCATCTCCCGAGTGTTGGGATTACAGATGTGCATGACCAAGCCCGGCTTGCCTTTATTCATGATGCCAGTGTTTAGGAATTGCCTCTCATTTGTTGATTCTCCCCACCTACAGGGCCTCCCCCAGTCATTCTCAGAAAGACACCTTCCAAGATTGCTGGGGGCAATGGATGGGAAAGAGAAAGTGGGAGGCAGAGACTAGAGCTGTCTCTGTCAAGGGGAAGGCTAGGCACACACACCGGGCCAGAGTCGGGCAGTCAATTTTGTAGTTATTGATGAAATTCATGTCCTGCAGCATGCTGAGGATGGCCTGGAGAGGATGGAAGGGAACAATCAGAGAGGGTCATCAGAATCAAGACGGGGGTCTCACCTTAGCCCTTCTCAAAGCCCCATTCTCAAAATTTTGAAGTCTTAAAACTTTACATCTAAACCAGAGGATCATAAAATGATTGAACCAAGCATTATCAGAGCTGTGAATTTTTAGAAATCTGCAGTATCTAAGAACTTTTGGGAGCCAAGTTCACATAAAATCTAAGAAAAACAGGGGCTGCAAACCCAAGGCCACATGCCTGAGGCATCATGGATCCAGAACAGCTCTTAGTGACCATTCAGTCCAGCCCCTGGTCCCTGGAAAGCCCCACAGCGCCATGATGGCAAACCACATGCCCACTTCAGCCCTGAAAGAGCTCCCACAGCCTTCCTTGATGACTCTGCCTTACCAGGAAGGTCTTATGCACATCTAATGTAAAACTCTGGCTTATACCCTCCACCTCCCCAGCCACTCACCATGGAAGTGTCATCTTCAGGCAGAGAGCGAGGGGTATAAGTGAAACTGGCAAAGTTGGAGTCAATGGCAGCCACTGGCTGGATCCCGTCGTGGAGAAGTTTGGTATATTCATCATCAGAGACCTAGAGGGGACAGCCAGGGCATTAGAAGATGGCTTCCTCCCTAGCTAGTGTCCTCACCCTCAAATTCCCACAGCAGGTAGAGGACCCCTCATCCAGAGGCACCACAGTCGGGCCTCTATTCCACAGACTGCCACAGGGCAGATCCCCCTCTCCCCTCACAGTCCTGTAGCTCCTACTGTACCCTCCTGCCTACGGCCACTTTTAATCTATAACAGCAAAGATAGGGAACATCCCTTTCTGACACGCAAACCATGGTGGCCTTTCATAGACACTAACTCTGGCAGTTTGTCTCTTCCCAGGGTCTAACCTCAATCCTTCCTACTATATAGTTTGGAGCCTATTCACAAAGTCTGGGACTCTTTGGTTTGGTTTGGACCCCAATGAGAAGAAATGTCTAAATGAACATGGATTATCATATACTCCGATCTAAGGTTTGGGATAGATCTTGAGGGGCTGGGAAAGGATGGACTATCAGCAGTTAGGACTTCCCAAGGCTGTGTGACCACCATATCCAGGAAAGCAGTGAGGGCAAGCTCTGGGTGGGCTTCCCAGCCCTCTGTAATTCCCAGCATGGGGAGTACTTGGCTAAACCAAGTTCTTCCCTGGGGGAGTCATGCCAGCTTCTTCCAGTCTCGGAATGAACTGAGAAATGGTTTAGAAGAGAGGACCATAAGAAGGGTGGGGAGGCTGACCCTAAGCAAGCCTGAGGCCAGGTGTTGCTCCGGGCCTGTCTTCACATCCTTAGAGAAGAACAACCTGGACCTTGGCAGCTGAGGATTCTGGGAAGCAGGGAAGAATCCTGCAGGTAGCCTTGGGACCCTGAAAAGAACACTCTAAGCAAGCCTCACCTTCATGTGATACATCATCATCTCATTAGCCAGGTGGCTGCGATACTGGGCCTCGTTCACTTTTTTGTATAGCAGAGACTGAGAGGAGAGAGTAAAAGATGGGTTGGAGCAAGGTGGCAGTGAAATCCTCCAAATGCCTACAACTGGTACAAAGGGATCAGAAAGAAGCCCTGGTTCCTGATTCCTGTCCCATTGGGGTCCCAGTCTGAGCCTCTGAGCTGTAATCCAAAACACAAGCCCCACCCTCCACTTTCATTGGGGGCTCCCCCATCCTCTTAACATTTGAGGCACATTGCACTGCTCTGGATCCTGACTCAGACTTCGGTGATGGATGCCAAGGCTCACGGCAGGGAAAGAGCAGCAAGGAGGGTTAAGGTCAGGAATCTAGGCCTGCATGGTATGACCAACGTTTGCCAAAAGGAAGCTGACTATGGGACTGGGTTGAGGTTGCTTCCAGAGAAGAGGGGGAGAGATTTTTGCCATCAGGGTTTTTTCATGGCCTCAGGGGCTATGCAGACAAAGCAAGAAATAGTGACCCCCAATTTTCAGACGAAAACTGAGCCCAGGGTGGCCAGCATGCACTGAAGGCGGCACAGCACCCCAGCCTCAGGGCTCTTGAATTCCAGGCCAGAGTCTGGACACAGCAAGGAGAGCCGGTGGGGGGAGCAGAAGGGAGGTCCCCCATTGGCCCGGCTCCTTTCCCGCCCCCTCACATGCGCGATGCTGATGCCACAGTAGATAGAGAAGGCGGTGGCCAGATCTTCATCGAACTTGCTGAACCACGGCCCATTGATCTTGTTCACCAGCTCGGCAACACCGATGACCTCTGCGAAAGGGAGCCGAGCTAGCAACAGCCTGTGGAGAGGCCTGCCCTCCCGGATTTCCACAGGGAAACCCTAATCCCTTAGGCTCTGGGACGCTAAGGGACGGAGAGGTGCGAAGCTCCACCCTCTCATGGCCCCGCCCCTCCAGGCCCCGCCCCCGGCGGCCGCTGGCCCGGCCCGCACCCTGGTTCTCGTTCTTGATCGGGAAGCAGAGGATGTTGCGCGTGCGGAAACCAGTGCTGTCGTCCACGCCGCGGTAAAAAAGCGGGTGGGCGTAGGCGTCAGGGATGTTCAGGATCTGGCCAGTGGTTGCCACGTGGCCCGCGATGCCCTGGTCAGCGGGGATGCGGATCTCGTAACTCTGCAGGGGCAAAGATGGAGTGGAAGGATGAAGTCAGTGGCCTGCTGCAGAAGAGACCATCAAACGTCAGGCCTGCTTCCCAGAGCCCCCTGCGGACTCCTGGCAACCTCCAAGGCCACCAGCTGCTTCCACATTCGCTCACCTCATCGTCCACCACGCCACCGTCGAAAACCTTGGCCACCAGTTCGTTCTGATCCAGCAGGAACACGGAGCAGCTGTGGAAACAGAGGGTTGATCCACAGGGCCCTGACATCCTTTCCCGACCAAACCCTCGTCTTGTGACTTGGGGGATGGATTTCCAAGGCCCAGCAGGAATACCCTCAGGACTGGCAACTCCAGGCATTCCTCCACTCATTTTTCTTTTGGAACCCTTACTATGTGCTAGGCACTGGCACTGGCTAGGAACCTGCGACAAGCTGGGAACCTGTGACAAACAAAGCTAGCTCTGTCCCTGCTGTCCTTGGCACCTAACAGAGGGAGGAGATGGGCACGAAATAAAGGATCAGTCAAAAGGCAATGCCTCGGCTGGGCACTGGTGTCTCCTTCCTGTAATCCTAGCTACTTGGGAGGCTGAGATCTGGAGGATCATGGTTCCAGGCCAGCCTGGGCAAAAAAAAAAAAAAAAAAAAAAAAGTTCACAAGACTTCATCTCAACAAAAAAAAGCTGGGTGTGTGGTGACATGTGCCTGTCATCCCAGTAACCCACAAGTACAAAGGTCCAGGCTGGCTTAAGCAAAGATCAAGGCCATAGCTCCAAAAATAACCAGAGCAAAAAAGGGCTAGAAGTGTGGTTCAAGCAACAGAGTACCTGCTTAGCAAGTGTGAAGCCCTGAGTTCAAACTCCAGTACTGTTTGAAAAAAAAAAGTGATGTCCACAAGAAAGCAGGGAGAGGAGAAAGGGCAAAGGAAAGAAGGTGATGAGCCTCTGTCACCCCATCCATGTGTAGATTCACTTACATCTCTGCATTGCTGAGGTTTCTGGCCTCTGTGATGATCTCCTGGAGCAGGACAGAGACATCATCTGGAAAGAAAAGCACAGGGTGAGACCATACTGGAGTGCCAGGCCAAGCCTTCCCACCTCTCCTTCCCAAATAACTGCTGTGGAGGAGAACAGTGAACTCACCCAGGTGAGTGAAGAGGTTCTTTGCCACTTGGAGAAGGGCCTGGAATGTAGAAAATGGAGATGGTAGGGGATTTGGGTTAGGGACCACCCTAACAATCCCACTGCCTCCAATGGCCCCAGTGTCTTCTCATTCCTCCTGGTGTGGCTCCTGGAACTGGCTTGAAGTTGACCATGTCTAATTATGTCGTTTGGCTACTAAGTGAAAGAGTAGAGGAACAGCCCCAGCAAAGATAAGTAATGCTACCCAGATGTTTGCTGTAATGCCCATTTTGATCAGTAGAGGGCAATCACATACAGTGCCTGCAGCCCAGGACTCAGGGCCTGGGGAACTATGACCTCTCTCCTTTGGACTGGAGGTGTGGCTCAAGTGGTATAGCCCCAGCCTAGCAAGCGCAAAGTCCTGAGTTCAAACCCCACGTCCACAAAAACAAACAAGCAAACCTTCTTAACAGACTTCCAGGTCACTAGGTTACCTGGCTGTCAAGGGCAGGGCTGCCATTGACTCAGAACGACACAGGTATTTCCTTTCTGGATGACTTTCTGGGGCTGAAAGCTGGGTGAGCTGGTCCCCAGGAGAGCCTCAAGGCAGGACACTCACCTGGCACTCACACTTGAGCTTCTGCTCCTTCTGGAAGGCTAGGGTGCTGGTGAGCACCGTGCCTGTGTAGTGGAAGCAGTGCTGGACCACATGCTCATCCTGGTCTGTGAACCTGGAGGAGGGATTAGGGGTCACGGAAGAGGGCAGAGAAGATGGGCTTCTCTCCCCTTTTTTTCTTACTTCCATGAAGCCAGGAAGCTCACAGAAATATCCACGAGCAACCATAACTCTCCACACTGGGACTGCTCCACTGCCCACCTCCTCCCTCAGACAGGGCTCCCTGAGGGGAGGGCGCTACTCACTCCTCAAACCAAAACAGGGTTTCCTCCTTAAGCTATTGCTTTTTAATTTTTATTTTGAGACAGGGTCTCACTGTATTGTCTAAGCTGGCCTGGAACTCATAGGCTCAGGTAATCCTCCCACCTCAGCCTCCCCAGGAGCTGTGTCCATAGATGTGCACCATTGTATTCACAGGCTATTGCTTCTTGAATCAGAGTCACATCTCCCTCCTCTGACTGTTGATTTACCCAGACCAAGGCTGGGTCCCCTCCCTCAGACTAGACTTGACAGGCCAAAGCAGGACGTCTACCCTTCCCCAGTGCCTCTCTAGCCTCAGAGAGGGGCAGTGGCAAAGAGAAGGGGAACTAGGATTGGACCTCAACATGGCTTTAAATAAACCAAAATGAGTGATAGACAGTCAGTAGCAGCTGCAAGCGTCTGTTGCCCCCCCCCCTTTTAACCCTACAGTCTTGCACTGACAAACTGTTCAGCCACTGCTTGTTGCTGGGGTAGCACCCCCTGCCTAGTCCCCTTCCTACTGTTACCTTAGTGGAACCCTATCCCACCTTTAAGCCCAGGATCAACATTAATCCACCCAAACTCACAAGTCTCCTCCAAGTTTGTTGAAGGCGCAGGCCAAGGCCACCACCTGGTCAGTGGCCCGGCTGATGACAGGGACACAGAGCATGGCCTGCAGCTCACAACCCAACATGTTTTGCAACTGTTGCACATCTTCCTACAAAGAGAAGGCAAGGGGGAATGAGTTGGGGCAGGGAAAGAAGAAGGAGTGTGCTTCCTTCCCAGCCCTCCACCACCCTTCACAATAGGCTATGACATGTGAATGGGATGCTACAAAGCCCCTTGGTCTTGTCTCTCTGTTTATTCCCTGTCACCCTCTGGCTCAGTCAAGCCATGGCTTACGGAAGTGAGGTCCTTCAGCTGGATGGACTTCTTGTCTTCCACCACCTGGCCCAGGCGTCCCATGGTCAACTGGGGAGTGAGGAAAGGTTGAGTCAGGGCCCAGCTCTCCCCACACCAGGGGCTCTCAACCCATCCTCACCCTCCAAGTCTAGAAGTTTCAACAAATTCTTCAGGCAGTCCAAATAGTGGATGGAGTCAATACTGAGCAGAGAATTGGGGAGCTCTGGCAGAATCATCTGGAGAGGACTCTAGTGTCTTCCCTAACTAGGAGAGAGAGAGAGGCAGACTCCAAAGATTCTCATTGATTGCAATAGTTTCTTATCTAAAAATATTCTCAATAGGAGTAGGATGGTCCTAAGCAAAGATTCTGTAGCTAAGAGATGTCTCCTAATGGAGTCTGATCGCAAATACTGTAATTTCTTGTAACATTTCTAAGTAGATCTCAAGATCCATATTAATCCCAGAGATTCTAAAGGACCTCAGTCCCTCCCGACAAATCCCAAGAATGCCTAGCAGGCTTTAATAATTCCTGCAGATTCCAACGCAGGGAACAGACTAAGGAACTCACAGGAAAGCTGATCTCTTCCCCAAGCACTTTATCTCCGATGACCTGGGGGACCAGAATGGTGGGGAAGGTTAGTAGAAAGGCAAACATGGGTCCCTCGCCCAGCCCCATAGTGGGTCTAGGGCCCTCACCTTGCAGGAAAGCTGCAGGTTGTCTTCGGATACTAGCAAGAGACAGCAGCGGGATGCCTGGGTCTCCTGCTGCAGCTGAGAAGGAAAAAGACAGAGCAAGGGGCTAACTGTGGATCTGGTGCCGCCCTCACCCTCTTTCCTTTCTGAGGCTATTGAGGCTTGTGTATACAGGAAAGGGAAGGGGACGAATGTTGCCAACTGAACTGAGATGGAGGACTCAAGGGGACGCTGGTCCCTGGAGATGGAGCAAGAAGTGAGGCTCAGGGACTCACGTATTGAAGGACTTTGAGCTGCAGGGAAGTAGCATCCAGGTCGTAGAGTTCCCCTGCAAGAGCGGAGTGCCGGTCAGAGAGACTCCGCATCACCTAGTGGTCAGGTCCCTTAAAGTACGGCTCAGTCCTTTATTTCCCCGCAAGTCTCCGCCAGGGGTCCCCACCTGATCGCTCAGTCCACAGCCATCCCTTCCAAATTCTAGTCCGGCTCCGCCCCCTGCAGCGCCCCACCCCCTTATGCCCCGCCCCGCCCCTCCAGCTTGGACCCTGCTCCGCGCTGCGGCCCTCACCGCACAGTTGCAGGATCTTTCGGTCCTGGTCAGTGTACTCTGCCCTGTCCTTCTGCTCTTCTGCCAGCCCCGCCGGGGGTTCAGGGTGGCTCCGGGGGCCGCGCCGGACCCGCGCTGCTGCAGGGCGTGCACCCTCCGCAGGGCCACCAGGGTCTGGGGTGGACAGAGTTGGTCAATGTGTCTATGTCCCACCTTCTCGGTGCTCGTCACTACCGCGGGACGCATAGCGTTCGCTCCAGCCATTTCCCCTGCCCGCAGTGCCCATCGGCCCCTCCCGGCCCCAAACGACTCAGCCCTAGGCGCTCCACCCTCTGGAGTTCCTCAGTCCGTAGACAAGCATGGGGTCTGTTTCTACCTCTTCCCCCCCAAAATTCTTCCAAGGCAGAACAGGGTCGGATATTTCAGATCTAGCATAGGTGGGGAATCCTCAGTCCTTGTTAAAGTTACAAGATCCTAAAATCTCAGGCAAAATGAGTTTCCGTATCCTTCCCCAGTTAGTCCTAACTATTCCCATGTTAGATGTGAAACTAAGGCTCAGAGAGCTTAAGTGTTTTACTCAAGGTCCCAAAGCTCAAGGGTGGTAGAGCTGGAATTGGAACCCAGGTCTGTCCAACTCCCTGGCCAGGTCGTCCTCCCACATGCTGTGATAAGGGCCTTCAGCAACTCCCATCTCTACCCCACTCACGTGCTTCTCCACCGCCTGTAGGCTCCACTCCTCCCTTTCACTCAGCTGGCCACAGTGCACCTGGAGGGACAGAGAAGGGAACCAGCTACGACCTCTGCAGCCTGTCTCTGCCAGAGTGCTCTCCCCTCATCCAGCATGTACTGGTCTCCACCAACACATACACACTCCAGTCTGTGGGCCTCCATAAGCCCATCCTTCTGACCATGCAGGTAGCTCCAGGAAAATCCTCTCCTGCAAGAAGCCTTCGAAGGTAGATCCAGAAGGGTACTTTTCTGTCTCTGTCTCACCACTTTCCATCAGCACTGTCCCATGGTACAATCACTGTCCAGGTGTTCAATGTCAGGGAGGGGGACCTTAGGCCCCTCTCCATCTCCCATCCATGGGGCCCTTCAGACCCTGATTATAGAATAAGTAGAATTCACCTCAGCCCCCCCAGCTCCATCCTTTCTGAGTTAGGATTTGAGCTGCCCCTAAGTCTGGGATAAAGGAAGGAGTGCAGCATAATGCATGAGTGGGACTTGTGGAGGATGGATGGATGAATGAATGAAATCGATGGGGTGCTCTGCCTTACATGTGATTCTCACCACTGTGTAATGCACGCTTCCACCTTGCAAATTAGCCTTTCTGCTAATCTCTCAGAAAGGCTGAGAGATTTGCCCAAGGTCGCAAAGCAGAAAGTGGCAGAGTTAGAACAGCTCCACCCACTCCCTCCCCTTCTCTACCTATCCTTTCCTCTCCAGAGTCACTCTCACTTCCACACCCATAATTCTGTCCCTCTCCAAGTTCCCTGTGCCAGTCACCAGTCACCTCAGCCATCTTCCAAACTCTGTGGAATCTATTCCTCCCTTCCACCCTGCTTGGGTGCTTGAGGAGGAAAATGGGGAGGAGAGGGAAGGAAAGCAGTCTAGGGACTCACTTCAAGTCCACCAGCCAGGCTCCCCACCTGCGTCACCAGCTTCCTCACCTACTCAGAGCTGCTCACCACCTGTGGGGCTCCCCACAGTGCCTGCACTGGGGGGCCCTCCATCATCCTCCCTCCTGGCCTCAGCAACCGAATCCCCTGCCAGGAACAGATGGAGAGGAGGAGACAGCCTGGGCTGTGGGGCCTAGAGGGAGACCTCCTGCACTGGCACTGAGGCATGCGCAGAACAAGCACAGCTGGAGAGACAAGGATCACGCAAGAGGAGGCTGTCCTGGTAATGCCAGGTGGGAAGTGTGGGGGTAAATGAAGTCCTGGGCAGGGATAAGGCCTATGGGCCACAAAGGGGAGTGTCTTCAGCATCAGGCTAAGAAACTGGGCTTTAGCATTAAAGTACGAGGGAGCCATGGCAGACTTTAACAGCCGAGGGCCATAGTCTATGGGATGAAGGGTATATTAGAAGGAGCAAGATGGGAGGCAGGGAGGCCTGGAAGAGAGCTGGGTAGCCAAGGATGTTGTTGAAGCTTAAACTCTGGATGAGGCTCACACATACTGAGACTCACACAGTATGGGGGTTGAAGGAATCTGAGACAGAATTCACTTGCATATGACTTACACAAATATGGTGGCATTTTACCAGTAATACATGAAGGAAAGACCCTTCTTGTTCCTTCTACCTGGGCCCATTTCTCCGGAAAAGGGAAGGTTAGAAACTCTCTAGGGCTACAGAGCAACCAGGTGCTGGGCTTCCCAAAAGCCTGATCCCAGGTCCAGAACTGAAAACAAATGCTAATGGAAAGGAAGGGACCATGGTACCCCCCCAGCCTATCACAACTTGGGGACTATATCATCCTACCCACCCAGCACATGCACAAACACACAAAATACTCTCCTGAAGAATCTGAGGTGCCTCCATGTGCACACACTCATGCTCCCTCTCTCACTGGGGCACACACATGAAGCAGTGTGTGCCCCAGACTCAAAGACGTTCACACATCCACACTTAAGGTGACCACACCATCCCTACATGCATGTTCATGCCAGTACACAAGAAACTTGAGTTCATATACTTAAGAACCATGCACATGCTTGACGCCCCCACGCAAAACCATTCAATCACTCCAACACACTCACATGTGGCCCTTGTTAATGAGAGTGTGTGCCAGAGCCCAGTGGGAACACTCAGCAGTCGGCACTAGGGCTTAGAGAGAACGAAAAGCCTGGCCCAGCCACCAGGCCCCACCCTCCCCAAGTTTGATGTGGTTCATGGCATGAACACTCCATCTCCATGCAAGGAGCTAGTCAGCACAGCTAGGAGAAAAAGCGAATACAAATCAAGCATCAAATGCCAAAGACCAAAGGCCACCCACTCCTCAAAGGGACTTTTTTATCCCAGAATTGAATAACAGAGCCAGAGACTTTCCACAGAAAGAATCTGTAATCAAAGTGCCTTGAGCTGAGCTGCAAAGGCCCAGAACTCAGCCACACAGCCCTGCACCTGGATGGCATATTCCACAGAAAACCCTCTGTTGTCTGTCTCCATCAGGCCCCACCACTCCTTGCAGGGCTCCCTGGTTTCCTTGCTACAGCTTGCCATCATTTTCAATTCCATCCTTATTTTTGCTATTTGTTTCCTGCCTTCCAGACTATATGATCTGAAAGCAGGGCCTGCTGGTCTGTCTCAATCACTTCTGTGTCCCCAGAGTCTACCACACAGTGCTTGGCATCTAACAGGTACTGAAGAAAAAGTTCTTCAAATGGATGGATGGATGGATGGACAAATTGATGAATACCAAGACACAAAGAGGGAAATGGGGTTTGTTAAGAAAGGACCTGGTGACTAGGAACATCTTTTGGAAGGCACCCTCTTGCCCTCAGGATTATGTAGCAGCTGGGAGCTCCAGGGCTGTCTGTGCTGCCTCTGGGATGGGAGCATCTGTCACATGTGTGAGTTTTGGGGTGAAGGATATCCTGGAAGAGTGCATTTCTTCCTGAGTGGGAAGGCGCAGACTTGGAGGAGAGATGGGAGGTAGATAATCCAGAGACCCTTCACGAGTTCTTCACTGTCAGGAACTTCTGGCAACCAAGACCCCCGGTAGCATTTTCCTCAGTAGTGTGCACCCCACACTTCTGCTTCACCAAGATGACACACTTCCCCACCCCACACCTGTTTTTGTTCATGCTGCTCTCACTGCCTGGAATACCCTTTTCCTTCTTCTCTGCATATGGCCCCACGCAAACGCTCCCTCTACTGTAAGGCCTTGACGCTCCAGCCTCTGCCACCAGCTGCTGGCAGCCTGTGATGGACCAAAGGTATCTCTGCCTTCCCCTAAACTGAAAGCTCCTAGAAGATAGAAACTGCCCAGCACCCAGCCTGGGGCAGCTTTGTGAGCTAAAGGGAAGTGATCTGACCTCATGAGCCTCCTGATGACACACAAGGCTTCTTCTCCCTCCATTAGGCTGAAGCAAGGATTCCTAGCCCAACACCAGCCAATGTGAACAGCAGTCATGGCAATCAACCATCCTCCTGTCCACAAGATGAACCATCTTCCTTCGCTGTGCGGGAGGTGCTTCCCTTCCCACCCAGTCCTCACAGCCTGGAACGAGTTTCCCTGGGCCTGGCACCCCCAGACACTGTTTCCTCAACAGAGAAGGTGGGATGGAGCCCCTGGCTCCCAGCCCCCACCTCTGCGTGCTGCCTGGCCTTGATCCTCCACAAGCCCACCAGCTCCGGCACAGATGGACGCAAAAGAGAGGGGGAAGCGGCCCACTGAGAACTCTGCCTACAGCAGATCTGTTCTCTGCGGGAGCAGAAGCTGGGGGTGGGAGCAGCTTGCGGAAGGAGCTCCCTCAGTCAGGCAGACGGGGCGCAGAGTCAGGAAATCAAGCCAAGCATCCCCCTTCCCTCCCCTGGAGGCGACCCCCCACTCCCAGCGCCCTCCCCAGCTAGCAGCTCAGGAAAGGTCAGGCGCCTAGGAAACCTTTAATTCCATTTTAATGAGCTCGGAAGGAGTCCCCGGCGTACCCTGGCCGGCTAATTTATTGTCCCGGGTGGCGCCGCCTCCGCGGAAGCAGACTCCCCAGTAATGGCGATTTGGGCGCTAACCCTTTCTTTCCTAGGACAGGACAGGATTTTGAACCCCATCTCCATATGGGGGAAGAAACTGGAAGAACCGCAGAGTCTGCGCCTGCAAGGCTCTGCCACCCCACAGACCAGGCAGAGGAGCAGGGGTCCTGGGAGAGGCAGCCCCTTGGAGCCCCAACTGGGTGTCCCCGGTCAGCTCCCCTCTCTCAGCAGAGCATCCCCCCACTTCCCATGGAGGCCCCTTTCCTTCCCTCTGGGTTGTGGCTCCAGGAGGGCCCTAACTGCCTGGCTTGCACCCAGCCTCAGCGTGGGTCTGGCTGGGGCCCATGCCTTCCCACGCAGCCCAGCCCACCCCCTGCGCCTCCTCTCTCCTGAAGCGTCCTAGCTGCAGCCACTCCTGATGGTCTCCCACAATGTCTCTCTCTCAATCAGCGCCTCATGTCCTCGGGTCCCCACTGAGTGTCTCTCAGTGTGTTCCTGCCCTCTTGGATACAACTCACAACCGGTGAGGGGATCCCAAAAGAGGAAGCACAGCCAGGATTACCAAAGGTCCAGCTTTGCAGCTCTTGCTGAAGTGGGCCAGCGCTTCCTCCTGCCCATTGAGGGTGGGACCCAGGGCTGGGCTGTGGGAGATGCCTTAGGCTCTTCTCAAACCCCCATTTCCACTCCAACTCCATTGCAGATTGCTGTTCACACACACACACAAAAACACACACACACACTCCATCCACCGTTCCCTCCATCCTTACCAAGATGACAGCTTCCACAGTCCCGGCCTCCTTGTCCACCAGCGGGATGACCAGCACTGAGGGGGAGAGGGCAATGAGGTGGTCCTGCGGGGCCAGTGAGGCTCAAATACTGAGCAGGGACCCAGGGAGGGAGAGGACAAGGACATAGACAAAGAGAGGCCAGGACAGAGACACAGAGAGAACAGAGGCCCAGTGAGACAGAGAGAGTCCTGAGCCAGTGACAAAAACAACCATAGCAACAACCCGTGCATAGAAGGAAACCCCCTCACTTAATAACTTTCTTGTGGTCCTCCCAGCAGCCCTGGGAGGGAGGGAGGCAGGTAAGGCTGAGCACCCCTATTCTACAGATCGGGAAACTGAGGTCCAGAAAGGGGAAGTGACTTGCCCAAGATCACACAGCAAGTCAGGTCTCCTGACTCCCAGTCTTGTGCACTTTCCACATCGAGACAGAGGACAGAGACCTAGAGAGACTGAGACACGAGGCAGAGAGAGACATGGCGGACAGGGGGCATGGAGAGCAAGAGAAAGGGAAACAGAGACAGTGACAGAGAGCATGACAACAACTACAGCCCCATTGGACAACAGGCACAAGCACGTGGTAATCATAGCCATTGGTCACTAAGCCCTCGTAGGTGCCAGGCCTTAACATGCATCATCTCATTTGTTCCTTGTAATGCGCCTTCAAGGTAAGTACCCAATTTATAGTCAGGAAATTGAGGCTCAGAGAGGTTAGTAGCACATAAGAAAGAATTAAATGGAGGGATGGCTGGAGACATAGAGCAAGAGAGAGGAGGAGATAGAGATGAAGATGCGTAGAAAACAGACATGACTGGGACCAGAATCTTAGCCCCCCCTGCCCCTGCCCAGCTCCCAGCCCTTACCTTGGGTGTCAGGAGCCAGTGGAGCCAACAGCCTGGCCAAGGGCTTCCCTGGCACGTCCGAGGGGGCCAGCCCATTACAGCTCAGCCGCTTTCGGGAGATCACGGCCTCCCTGAAAGAGGACATGACCCACCTCTCAGCCACTGGATCAAAAGGAGTGGAACTCAGCTAGAGCAGGCTGGACCTTGCGCATATAAAAGGATTTGGACAAGTTGACCTGCCTCACAGTCAAAAATAAAGAGTCAGGTTCCTTGTCCCTGTGTAGAGGGGAGGGAAGCCAAGGTCTGGCCTCTGGTGCCTCTGGCTGGTAGATACCAGAAAGGCTCACGTGCAGAGTACAGTTCAGAACCGAGGCCACAGGGAGAACAGAGAAAGCCACAGCAGGGCTGGAGCTGGAACCCAGACTGTCAGGTCAAACACTGTACCTGGTGTTACTTGACCAGGGACAAGTGACCTCACCTCTCAGCCTCCAATTTCAAATGAAGAAGCTAAAAGTACCTGTCCAAAGTCACATGGCTAATAAGTGGTAGAGCAAGGCTTTGACTCTAGGCAGTTGGCACCAGAGCTAGGCTTAACACTATCCTTGAATAATCCTAAAGACCTGTGGGATGTGAACTTGTAGCAGGGAGCTGGCAAGGGTGCCCAGAGTTCGGGGAAGAAAACTAAGGCAGGGGATGTTGGCTAAGGGAAGAATGAATTTTCCTCTGTCCCTCCACATATACCACCCTTTACCCAGGTCTCTAGCTCTTCCTGCTTAATTAAGGGTACAATTTTTCACCAAATATCAGTCCCCAATGATTAACTGTTGTAGGTTCCTCCTCTCTCATGCTGCCTCCACATAATTGTATTGATAGGAACTGCCTGGCCTGTGCACTTGCGGTACTGATGGAAATCCAGAACAGGTCAGATGAGAAAAAGAGAAGCTGCAAGCCACCAGGTCAAGAGGTCACAGCCATTGGAGAAATCAAGGACCAGAGAGGTCAAGCATCTCATTCAAGGTCACACAGCAGTACTATGAACCAGACTCATTCCCTCCTGGCCTCTTTGACCAGCTCAGAATCTATAAGAACCAGTGATATTTCTCACCTTCCAACTCTCACACTCAGGACCTGTAAAAGCTCCCAGAGTCTGGGCTTCAGTTCTGGGCTGCCCCGAGTGCCTGAAGTTACCCCAGGAAGTAACAGAGACCTAGGGTGGCAGCAGGGCAAAAGGAGTCACCTTGTTGACTAAACTGTAGCCTGGGGTTTCTTGGAGATAGTTGGGACCCTCAGTCAAACCCCACCAAGCTAGTAGGCCTCAGACATCTGCTTATCAAGAAGCCACAAGGTGGCGCTGGACCCCGCCCTACAGCCTCACCCCATGACATCAACTAGTCCAGTCCTCAATCTAGACTTGAGGCTGCCTTGTCCTCTCTATCCTGGGGCCCTGATGAAGGAATCTGTCCCTAGCCTGTCTTTTCTGCAAAAAAAAAAAAAAAAAAGCCCTTCTCTGTGCTTATGGCTTCATAATTCCCTGGCCCTCATTTGTAAGCTCCAGCTCCAGATACCCAAAAACCAGTTGGAGGCATCCCCTGAGTGTCGGAGGTGTCCTAAAGGTATCACAGCCTGAACTTATCATCTCCCATCTCCACCCTCACCCCCACCCTCTGAAAGCAACATCACCATCCACTGTGTCTTCGGCTGGTTGGAAAACTGTCTTAGCTGCCTCCTTTCCTCACCTCCCCCAACCAGTGAGTCATTTCCGATGTGTTGCTTACAACTGTCCCCTGCTCTTTCTTCCCAAGTCACTGCCAAGCTCCAATGGAGACACCTCTCCCCTGAGCCCTGCCATAGCATTTCCCTGAGCCTCCAGACTCCTGCCTGGGTCTCAAACCATCTTCTTATTAGAGGACATTTTTGAAACTAAAATCCTCACAAGAATATTCCACACAAAACCTGTCATTCCTCAGGCTCTTGTGAGTCAGTTTAGAAGAGCAGCGGGACCCATGCCTGAGTGCAGCAGCCTAGTGTCATGCAGACCCACACTTACGGAAGACAGGGCTCTGACAAAGAGAGGAAGAGCTGGCCCCAGCCCACTTAGGGAAGGGCAAGAGTGGGGTCAGAGAAGAGTTCCTGCAGGAGGTGCCCGGGTACAGTCTGAAGGACACACAGAGGTCATCTAGACAGACAGGCGAGGATGAGCAGGCAGAGGGAACTGCATATACAAAGACTCAGAGGAGAAAACGCTGTGTCTGCCGGAAGGTCTAACCGCAGCAGGTGGACAGCAGAGTACGAGGCTAGACAGGTGCCAGGGCCCTAAGGACAGGGCTTGATCCTGGGGATAGTTGGAGTCCTGGGAGGGACTGAGCAGAGGGAGGTAATATCAGATTTGATTTCAGACCAGTCATGCTAGTTACCTAGGTAGAACTCTCACAAGACAGGGAGAATCTGACACTAGAAATCTAGTTTCAGTGAGGACATCACTGTCTTAGTGGCCCTGGACAAGAGAGGAGTGGGGTGGGGCAGATCAACCTTGACTGGGCCCAGAAAGCCCCCAAGCACTGGCGCCTTCAAAAATCCTCAACTCTCAGGAGGCTTGGCATCTTGCTCTGCAGCTGGTCCTCCCTGGCCTTGCCATAGCCCACCCCTCAAGCAGGTACCTACCAGATAATGTCCCTTCACTCCGCGCCCCCCCCATGAGTCCCTTTCCTCAAGCACACCCTTCCCAGAATGGCTGCCTTCCTGAAGGCTCCACGGGTACCCACAGAAAGCAGTGGAGGGAGATGAGGTTAGGACTATCACCATGTGGAAGCTGTCAGACCCTGACAGCTCTCCCCTTCCCTCAGAACCCCTCCCTACCTCCTCGTGAGCATCTTCCTCCTTCCTTTCCCCACCTACCCCATCTTCTGATGCTGAGGACTGAGGGGTGTGGGGGAGGGGAAGGGGTACAGGACTCCACACTCCAGGGCCAGCTGTCTAGGCTGTAGGCCAATAACTTAATCCTTGTGCCAGGGTGGTCACAGCCTGCCCCACTGAAGGTAAAGACAGATGGGCACAGAGTGGAGAAAGAATGGGTGTGGATTTTATGACAGTTCTGTTCCTTTAACAACTATTTGTTTAATGGAAAAAGAACAGAGAAAAAAGCTCTCTGTTGGTAAGGTCAACAGCCTGGAATAAGCAGAGTACCCAGGCCCCCTCCTACCTCCTGGAAGCCCCACAGCCTTCTGTGGTCCTATTCTAGGGTAAAGCCCCCTCTCCTTTCTGATACCCCACCTACTTGCCCCCTCACTGAGCCTCAACTCTCACTGAGCTCCACTAATCCCCAGACCACACTGAGCCCTGCCACTCTCATTGCGCTCTGATCTTTCTTCTCTATTTTGAAGATAAATCATGATGCAGGCTAGGACCTGGACCCTTTTCTTCCTTACCTTCCCCTAGAATCTGGAGATGGGAACAAATGAGTCCCTGTGTCCTCCAAGATGAACTACAGGGACAGGCAGATTCTGCATGGAAAGGAGACCAGGTCTGCCTTGAGGAAGAAAGTTCTCAAGGCTGGGTCCGGGGACCCCCAAGTGGTAGAGGAGGCCTGAGCTGGTGGAGACTGAGCCCAGTCCAACTGAAAGGCCCAGAGTTCCTGCAGTCAGCAGCAGGGATCAGAGGCTTTAGGATGGCCGAAGACACAATAAGAAGTGGGAGATGGCAGGTTGGGGACTGAGGCTGAGAGATCTAGAGAAGTCTTACAGGATTCTCTCTTCTCCAGCCCTCAGGCCTTCTTATAGCCCCTGGAATTCAGGACTAAATCAGCCCTCAACGTCAGAATGTCCACCCTTATCATTTCACAGAAGGATAGATGGAGCCCTAGAGAGATAGTGTGGAGTTGTGATGGCAGCCATGTTGTCCAGGATCCCAGGTCTCTCGCCTCCTGGCCCAGGGCTCTTCTGTCCTTAGGAAGTCCACTATGGCCAGTCCTCCTTTCTGAAAAGTAGATCTTTCTTAGTACCAGGGAACTGTAGAACAGACTTCTGGAAGAGCGTCTTGGGTGGGCCACAAAGGTGAGTAAAATGGGGCTGGTGGAGGCACAGATGGAGCAGGGAAAGATTTTACAGGGGAGCAAACATCAGAAGGGAGGAAAGCCAAACCATGTTTGGAGGATGAAATAGGGCATCTGCAAGCCTACAGACTGCCTCTCCCCCACCACCCTTAGTCCATTCCCTACCCCTTCTCCTCAGGCTTTATCTGTCTTTATGATCCAGCCTCCACCTCACACCTGCTGCTGTTTGCCAGCCCTGCCAGCAGTCTGTGTTTCCTGGAGGAGCAACCTCACACCCCCACCATGCACACCTCAGCTTGAAAGCAGGAGCCTCCACCTCTTGATGGACCAGAGCCACAGGGTCACCACTGGAAGAACCCTGTATCCAATTCCACCCATTTCACAAAAACAGAGACCAAGGTCAGAGAGAAAATCATTTTCTCGACATCACCCAAGTGACCACTGGCTGGGCTTGGCAGTGGAGGACACCTAGCAATACTGAGCTTCTACTGTATGCTGGGCAGTGCAATAGGCAGGCCTTGCAGGGTGGGGCACAGCAAGGCAAGGATGAGGCTGGGCTAGGATCCAGTGTTCTTCTGTGTTGCACATATCAAGGTCTCAAGCCCCAATCCTCCTGGGAATGCTTGAGAGCAGGGCCCAGTCAGCCCTGGAGACTTTCAGCCCTAATGGTAGAGGCAGGCTCACCAGACCCCAGACACTAGGCGCAGGTGTGTACAAGAAGAGCAGAGATTCCCAAAAAGAATTCTTGTCCTGAACCTCCACTTCCAGGCCCTGCAGGCCAGAATGAACACTGATGTCTATGTTTCTAGGATGCGTCTGCCTTCACCCTCTTGCCTCCTCCTCCCCTGGAGTCTCTCACCCCTGTCTCCTAGCGCGCACTTGCCTCCCGTCTCCCATGAGCTCTAAGCTAATTGCATTTGAACATTCACTTTTAATTGGTTTTTTTTAACCTTTTCCAAAGGCTTTCCAGGGTTGTGGGGAGGATGCTGAATGGGCCACTCATGCAGATGATCTGAGCCTCTCAAACTGCCTGCACTGCAGACCCCACCCATTCCCCAGACAGCAGACACCCTGGAAGGGTGTGGAGGGTCTGAAGGGGCCTGAAGGCCAGCAGGACTCATGAACCTGCCATCTTGCATCTTCCTAGGAAGGCCTTTTCAGGCTGCTTAGAGACTTCCTGGAAATGTGAGCTCATATTAAAGTTCTTTAGAAGTAGGGGTGGGAGGGGCTGGCTCAGAGGAGCAAAGGAGACATTACAGCATTGTTTTCCCTTAAGATTCCAAAGACCTTCCAGCTCTATCCCATTGGTTTCAGATGGGACAAGTTGGCCAGAGGGGATAGTCGAGGCTTTGTTCACACAGTCCTTGAGTGGAGAACTTGCCAGGAGAAGCTGAAAGGGAGATTGTCACTCCTCCTTCCCCCACAGAACTCAGTGTCAGGATACGAAGTGGGAAGATGCAGGGCTGCTGGACAGGAGCCAACTGTTTCCATGTGTGAGAGCCAGGGACAGATGACTGTCCTAGAACCCAGGAGGGACCCAAGGAGTCCAGTGTCTTCAGACAGAATCCCTCCCATAGTCTCTGTGACTGGTGAGTGGCTCAGCAGCCAAGGATGCTACAGAAAAGACCTCATCCCTGGACCGCAGAGCTGTTGGAAAGCCCTCCCTGTAGTGGAGGAGAGCTGCCTCCTGGGAACAGCCCCACTGGTCCAACTCTGTCCCCACCCCTCCAACGCAGCGCTCCCTAGGTTCTTTGTTCAGTTCTTCGAGCAGAAAGGGGAGTCCTCCAGAGCAGGGCCTGTCTCCTCACCACCGGCTCTCCTGCCCTGCAGTGCTTTCTCATCTGACAGGTTCCCCTTGCTCTCACTGTCCCCTGAACAAGGAGACCCATCTCCCAGGCCTGGCAAGGCCTCACCTCCAGTATGGGACCTTGGACATGTCTCCTGATGTTTGTCCATCTGGAAAAATGAGGAGACTGAATCGGGGGTTCCATAGGGAACCGAGGACCTGCTTCTAATACTGTATTATAATGATCATACCAAATGAGGCTTATGCACCCAGATGCTTTAAATGCTCCACATGTATTGGAGTTACATCAACAACCCTAAACTACTACTGCTACCACCATGTCACAAACAACAACAACAACAAAAACTGGGACACAGAGAAGTTGTAAAATTTGCCTAAGTTTACACAACTAGTAAATAGGGAGCTGGGATTTGAACCCAGGCAGGGGGGTTCCAGAAACATCAGTAGAATGCTGCATGTGATCTCCTGTTCTCAGATACAGGAAACTGGCACTATGCACTCCTGCCCACCCTGCATACTGTGATCCTGAACCTGGCCTCGCAGGTAGCGCTCGTGGCCTGCTGCAACTCAAACGGATAGACACTGTGGCCCCAGCCTTGAGACTCCACTCTAAGAGCCACAGCACCCTAGAATTCTATGAGGACAAACCCAGCAGGTGGCACTTTCCCTGTTCCCATCTACTGCCCAACACAAGAGGAGACATTGCTTCTCCCTTGTATGCTGAGGTCAGTAACCCAGTCAAGGAGCCACCCCGGGAGGGAGGATGGATGAAAGGGGTGGGTCAGACCAGATGCCCTTGGAAGCTGCCTCAGCCTGAGAATCTTTGGCCATGCAAGAGGGCAGAGGGGGTGCAGAGAATGGCTTACCGGACTTTCCCATCCTGCAGCAGCTCATGCACAGGGTCCTCACACACCAGCCGGGACTCCCCATCCAGCAGGTAGGTGTACACAGCCTCCTAGGATAAAAGGCACTCGTGAGAGCCCGTGGAGAGGCTCTTAGTCCCATCATGTACACAGGGGTCTGTACGTATGGCAAAGTCACAGTCCCCTGGGAGCAGAGCTCTGGCATGTTTCCAAGGGGTTCTGGGCAGGCAGTGATTTGTCAATCTACGAAGTTTCCTTATCCATCTCTCAAATCCAAGATGCTTGGAAAAGAGTTTGATGGGCTATGGTGCAGACAAATCACCCCAACACTTGGCTACTCCCTGCCTGACTCCAGCCTCCCCATTCAGCAAATAATACCTGAGCATTCACTTTAGCCATACCAGAGGCAGAGTTTAGAAGGCCCAGAAAGCTTCCCTACTACCTTCGGGAACACACACACCTGTAAGTCAGGAGAGAAGCACAGAGCAAGCACTGCACCCATCCTCTATGGGAACCCTAGAGGACTTCCTGGAAGAAATAACCTTCAAGCTGTAACCAGATGTACTGGGAGAGTGGATGGGGCCCATAACTGGCTTTTGGGCCAAGCAGCAGGTCTGTAGCTGGCTCCAGAGGTATAAAGAACCATGGAACATTTTGGAACTGACAGTGGGGTGAAGGAGTGAGGGATTGGCTCAGGGTGAGCAGGGCTGAGCAGGAAGGGCCCTAGAAACAGAGCTGGGGTGGGGCAGGCAGTGAGGCAGACAGTTGTGTATTTTGGACTGATCACTCCCCAGGGTGAGATCCGAGCTCTTGCTCAAAGCTTGTCAAGACCTCAACTCTACAGTTCTTTGTCCCAAGAGCAGAGCGGTCTCTGCCTCAGTTGCAGGCCGTGTATTGGCAGAAGCAGTTGCTTCCACTGATCCAAAAGCAGAAACCGTGACCCTTAAGGGGTCCCGGCCAATACCTATTCCACACCACTGGCCACATCACTGGCCAGGGAATGCTGCTGCTTTCTCTGTGGGAGGCTGGAGGGAGAACTCCTCTCTGCTGAGGGTAAGGGTTCCTGAAGAAGGTGACATGGTGTCAGCTGTTGAAAGCCCCCTTGGTAAGAGTGGGGTCCTTCTCTGACTGTGCCCAGCCCTCCTGCCAGGAGATGTCCTAGCACTACCTCTGGAGACACTGAGCCAGGTTCCATGGTGGCCTGAGATAGGAATGACAGCACCCAAAGGGAGTCAGACAGACCCCAGACTCCAGGCAAAGCCCATCCTTCTGGGATGAGGGTTTAGGCAGAGCTCAAGGATAAAGAATCCAAAAGGAGGAAGCCAACACTCCTCAGCTATATCCAGCCTCCTTCCTATCATACCGTTCAGCAGCCAGGAGGGTTTGGAGGGATTTGGCCCACCAAGTCCAGAGCCCAAGGGGCACAGAAAGTTGGTCCTCCCCTGCAGAAAGAGGGGCAGGGAGCCCGTGGGTGTGGAAGGGGACAGAGTCTCACTTCACTTCCGGATGCCCATGTCTCCCACCCCCTCCCTCTCAGCCCTTTGGGTTAAAATTAGCTGAGTTTATTGGAGAAGAATTTCAGACACATCAGCACCATCTGCATTTGGGGCTGCCTGCCACAATGGGCGCTGATGAGGAAGCCAGGTGCTAGCAGCTCCCCGCTGGGTGGAGGGAGACCCTCCTCCCCCGGCTCCCACCTCCCTCACCTCCCTGGCTGCAGTGAAGTTGGGGCTCTCCCAGTCAGGGCTCCTCCAATTCACAACAGGCCTCTTGGGATGACCAGGGTAACATCCCACTGTCCCAGGAACCTGGTCATCTGCACCATACTTGTCATCCCAACCCCAGTGTTGGGCTGCTATCAGCCTGGTGCAGGACATCCATGCTGGGCACCCAGCCTCTCATCTCCTCCTCCTGACTCCCCAGAGCAGCCTCAGTGTACTCAGGGCCAGCCTGTGGACACAGACTTGCAGCTTCTCCACCCTCACTTCCCAGATGTGCCTCCACCCCAGGCCAGATGTTGCTTCAGTTACATCCCTGTCCCGAAGGATTTATTTTTGGGCGCCGACACACCACCCACTTCCTACCAATTTCACGCTCAATAAAGCTCAGTCATTAGCCCTCCTCCTGGGCACTGAACTTCTGGGAGGTTTTGGGAAGGCAGAGCCAAGGAGAGGGAATGGGGGTGTTTAGGTGCCAGGTCCCATTTGTCCCTGTCATGCTGTGTGACCTTGGGGAAGTACCCTCCCTCTCTGGGCCTCCAGTAGTTCATCCATCACACAGATTCAGGGACAATGGGCTCTGGTGGGGCAGGAAAGTCGCATCCTGAGTTGGCTATGCTTCCTGGAGCAGAGGCTGCCCTTGGCTGGTGCTTAGAGTAGGGGAAAGGACATTCAAGGCTGTCAGTACTCAGTTTAGGCATCTCCTCCTCCAGGAAGTCTTCCATGTCCCTTATGCTGAAGCCAGCCCCATTCTCCACACTCCAAAAGGCTCCTACTTCCCTTGTTCTGCCACACAGAGGCCCTGCTGCTTTGGACCTCCAAAGTTGGTTTATCCACCATCCTGCCTCTGAGATGAACAGTGGTCATTGAAGCCAGGTTGGGGAGCGACCTGGGCAACTGAAGAGGGACACAATTCCCCCAGCAAGGAACTTGGGGCCCAAGTAACCATAGTTACCACCCTCTACCTGCCCTAAACCTACAAGTCAGAAATGAGATACAGAGAATCTTAAAGCTTGCTAAAGGTTGTTTTGTCCAGCCTCCTGTCTCCAGGCAGGACACTTTAACCCAATGTAAATCCATCAATGAAGACTGAGTCCTCTAGCATCTCTAAGACCTGGCATCCAGAAAGTTCTTCTTTGTGGCCACCCACAACCCCTCCTGCAGCACATATTCCCAAATCTATCTAACTCCACCTTCTCCTAACTATTATGCCAGGTGAATTCCTTCCATTGTCTGAGACACTTTTTTCAATTAACCTTAAGTCCCCTTTGGCTCAGAGACTGTGAATGCCTAGGCAATTTCATTCTCTGGTACTTAGTCTTAGTCCTATTCTTCTGGAAAGCTCTCTCAGAAAAACCCCAGACCCTCCACCTCCTTCTTCCTTTCTTGGGCTTGTGTGAAGCACATACAGAGCTAGACAAAAGTTGGGGGGTGGGGAACATGCTGGGCACAGTGGGCACTTACCACTCTGGGGAGCACAGCTGAGAGGGCATCCTTGGCAGCCTGTCGCAGGCCTGCAACATCGATGACAGCACCCAGGCTCAGCAAAGCATCCTGGAAGAGAGGGAAGGGCATGACGTGCTCTGCCAGCAGGCTGGGGCATCCCCCTGTGCCCAGTGGGCTGTGAGCACAAAGTCCAGGTCAGGCCTGAGCCTGAGGCTCAGACGTTTGAACCCTCTCAGATCTTAACACCTCAAAATCAAACAAATCTCCAAGTCCCCCTCATATTACAGATGAGGAAACTGAGGCCCAGAGAAGGGCTGGGGACTTCGCCCTAAACTCACAGTGAGTTTAGAGGTCAGGCCTGGACTATACCCTAGGTCTTTTGGCCTTTAGGTCAGGACAGTTCTGGCAAACAGCAAGAAAAAGAAATCTGAATCCTAGCTCCATTACATAATATCAGTGTGTATCTTGTCTTGTTTGAGTTTTAGTCTTCTATCTGTAAATTGGGGGCAACTGTGACTGTTGTCCCACAGGCTACCATGAAGATAAAATGGAGCTCAGTGCTAAAGGTACCTGAAAGAGGACCCAGCAGAGGGTGGGCACAGTGGAAGACTCACTGCAGCTGGGTTTATGGCTTTCCCTGGAGAGCAGCAGCTCACCCAGTCTCATCTCACAGCCAAGTCAGGGCTGGATCGAGAATAGCAAGAATTCAGGGGGTGCCTAATCCCATAAGGTGGGAGCAGCACAGCTGGGTCCCTTCTGGCCACCAAAGGAGGAGAAGAAGTCAGCCTTCACTGCCTCTTAGCCTTCCCATCCCAGAAACAGGCCTTGTCCTTGGAGAGCCGGAACAGTGACAATAAAGGTCCCTGCTTCTCGCTCTAGTAACTTGGCCAGAGTCATGGGGATCAAAGACAAAGGTAATGGAACAGGGGATCCAGGGCCAAGGCAGGATTGTGACTCACACCATCTATTCAGCTGTGCCCTCTCCCCAGCCCTTGGAAGTCCTTTCTGATGTCTTCCCTGTGGATGGCAGAGTCTGTGTTCAAAAAGCAAAACAATTAACTACAGGATGAAGGAGGTATGACTTGGCCCCTATTCATGTGAAAATGATATGAGGTTGAGGGTCTTAATGGACCACAGTTCAAGACGAGCCCATAATGTAAGCAAAGCTGAGAAAAATAAAAATGCTGAAATAGCAAGTCATGGCAATCTGTTAATCTGAGTAAGGAACGTGATGGTTCCTCCACTTCCACAGTCTGGTTAAACCATCCTCAGTTTCTTGTGTCCCTGATAAAGACAAGGTAAGGCTCATCCAGAGGATGTGACCCATGAAAGGATGAAGTTGGAAACCAAGTCCTACTGTTAGTAAGACTGGATAACCTAGGGAGACTTATCAGTCTCCCAATTCCAGATTCTCAGACACCCCAGGGTGGGGGACTGAACTCCATGGCCCCATGGACAGCTTGGGGACACACAGGATTTCACAGGAGGCTGGCGTGAGGCCAGTGGGATGAAGGATCTACTTTCTTCCCAGTAGATCTATGCTGTAAAGGCAGAGGCCACCCGGAGAAAGCAGAAGCGGCAGGGTGGTGGGGGGGTGAGGGGGCTGAGGGGGGTGAGGGGGGTGGGCTCCCCATCCCTGAGGATAGGCAAGAATGAGCCAAATGCCCACTTTTCCAAAAGGCTTCAGAAGGGAATCTAATTGAAGAGTAGGGTCCAGGCCTCAGCTCCAAATTTCACTCTTGAGTCTTCTTAGCTATAACCCCCTGCCATCCTGTGTTCCCAGGAGGATGGAACAACTTTCTTTCTAAATGTCCTGGGCATTGCTTTCCTGGGTCCCAGCCTCCCTTTGATCTCTTCCACTGCTCAAGGATGAAGATACATCTTGGTCACAGAGAGAGATCTGCCCTTTGGACATCGGAAGCTGCTGGTTCCAAACAACACAATCCCTAAATTGGATCCCTTGGCCTGTGACACTAGGTAAAATTCACATTACCTTGACACCATCTTTCCATAGAGTCCTGCATCCTCACAGAAACCCAGCCTGCTTTCAGACCCTTCCAGATGCTTGCACACACGTACACAAAAACAGGTACAATTACTTCCTCAGGGATCACAGACAAGGGCCTAGTAGCCCCTGCCTACACAGATTATGCCCAAGGCTACTGTGGCTTTCCAAGGTCAACAATGGAGAACAAAGAGCTGATGCCCCCAGATAATCTCAACATATTAGCTTTCCAGACCCAGGATCCCCAGGCTAGAGCCTCAAGGGCAGGGCTGCTCGCAGTGGTGCTAGGATGGATCTATTTCTGCCTGGAGGTAGGGGGTTGCCAAAATGATCTCTGAGAGGTTCTGCCCTCAGTGACATCCAACATGTATGCACTGGGGAAGTTGGGGAAGGGAGCCAGGGCACTGGAGTGAGCTTGATACAGGGAAGGTTTTTCAAAGCCACAGGCTTCAGACAACTGTCTCCCCATTTGACAGATGAGGAAACTGAGGCTCAGAGAGAAGTAGTGATCTATCTGTGGTCAGTCAGCCAGTCAGAGCAGAGCCAAATCCAGAACTTAAATCTCTGGATCTCCAGACCCACGTAGCTCCTGCTCAGCACCTAACCCACCCTGAGGGTGCTTACAGAACAGTGTGTCCTTTCTTCTGATTGATGGGCTCCTCAACCTGCCCTTTGCTTTGATTGGGAAATGCTGTGAACTGTCCTTTACTGGAATTGGTGGTTGCTTGCCTGGCCTTTGTTCTAATTGATCATTTTTCTGTGACTTTTTAGGCCAAGGGTGGGATAAAGGCAGTGGGGGGAGCAGGAAAGGAAACTTGGGGAGAGTTGAGGCAGCAGCAAGGAAGGGCTTTGTATTCTTGGCAGAGTGGACTGGATGTGGATGTGGCTGCGAAGCCCAAGGTTCTCTGCCTGGCATCCTTCTCTCTGTCCGACCTCCTGCTTTCTGCCCACCTCCAAGCCCTGCCCAGCTGGCCTCAGGACTGCAGATGTCGTTGAGTGTAGGAACCACTGCTGGGAAGGGCCACTTCAGATCTGGCCCTTCCCAGAAGGATCAAAGGAGCCTACACAACTCAAATGCCACCTGCCCCAAGAACCTTTGCCAGATCTCAAAGCAACCTCTCACCTACACTGCATCAACTCAGGGGAAGGAGGAGCTCAAATTTCAAAGCCATGAGGCTGAGGCTCTTGGGACCGAAGTGGTTGCCTCAGCAATGAGAGGAAAGAATCAGTGGGGAGCCTCTGTGAATGGGAAGTGGGGCAATCGCTGAACTGGAGGGGAGAGCCAGCCTCAAGTCAAAGCGCAGAGTCCAAAGAATCTTTTTTTTTTTTTTTTTGGTGGTGGTGCATCTTCATGCTTGCTAGGCAGGTGCTCTACCACTGGAACCCCTCCATCAGCCCCCCAAGAATCTTAAAAGGAAGAAAAAGGAAAAATGCATTGCTGTTCACATGTCTATCCACACGAGTCCCACACATACATACAGCTATATCCACACCTCTGCCATACTTCATGTGCACACTCCCTCACACACACACACACACACGCACACACACACAGAAATGCAACTACATATCCACAACATGCACAAGTAAGCACTTAGGAATGTGTGCACACAGAGTCTAGGCTCAGGGTGGGGTGGAGGAGGTCACACTTCCTGCCCTCCAAGCTTTTTTGAACAAACACCAGTGTAAATATCAGCATAACAACCAGGCAATTTCCCAGACCCCAGGGGAGAATCTGTGGTGTATAGAAAACAGCAGCGGTTTCCAGTCCTGTCCCAGATTAACAACAGAAGCTCTGCGTGGCCTTAAACACACCCCTTTCCTCTTCTGAGCCTTGATTTCCTCATTAGTAAAAGTGAGTCTTTCCACTCTGCTGCATAGAGTTCTATGGTTTTGTGGTTTAATTCAATGAGGATGGGGGTGGAGTGAATAGGTGGGTGGTGGACGGTGGGTGGGTGAGTGAGAAAAAGGGTAGATAGCTGGTGGTGGACGGTGGGTGAGTGGATGGATGGATGGGTAGATGGGTGAGTGAATGAGAGAATGGGTGGATAGTGGATGGTGGGTAGGTAGGTAATGGATGGGTGGGTGGGTGAGTGAGTGGGAAAATGGGTAGCTAGTGGGTGGTGGATGGTAGTGAGTGGGTGGATGCATAGAGCCTTCCTGCTCTCTCCAGTTCCCTACCTGCTGCTCTGTGGCCTGAGGTAGGGCCATCAGGACGACAGGCAGCGCCATTCCTAAACTATAGACTTTCTCCCTATGTACTTGTACCAATCAGGCTCCTCTTAAGTCAGGACTGGGGCTCACCCTGGAGCTAGGTCAGTATTTCTGCAGTAATTTGGAGGAAAGGCAAGGGTCTGGACTGAGTTACTCCTAACTCCTCCATAAAGTCTAAGAGCCAGAGACCTTGGCTTTATCCCTTTGGAGCACACAGGGACTGACTGATGGGTGTTCTTGAGGATCACAGTCATTGTCACATGCTACTCTCCCATATCATCTCCAGGATTCTCTATGTCTTTTCCCACCTCCAAAAACTCTCCTATTTCTCTCCCTACCACCTGGCTTCTAGACCCATGCCTCCTGCTCTGGAATGAAGCACACTGTGCTCTCAAACTGGCCTACAAGAAGGTAATACATCACACTCAAGAGTCAGTACCGCCAAAGACTCAAGCTGCCTACTGGGACCGTCCACCCTGATTCACCCAGCTCTGCTGTTGTGAGTCCCCTGCGTGGCTTGGGAGTGGGGCTGTCCTCTCCATCTGGAACTTAGTGTCCCCTCCTCTAAAGAGAAGAAATGTCCTTCAAGATCTCCCAGGACTTTAGAGCTCCTCTGCATCTGTTTCTCTTTCCTTATCTCTGGACCAGGCTCCCTGATCTCCCCAAGTGGACCTCTCTGCCTTTCTCCATAATTCTTCAGCCAACGTCCATCTCTGTTACACTCTACTCTCCTATCTTGCCTCTTTGAGTTTCAAAGTCTTTTTCACCTCCACATCTTTGCTCTTCCTGATGGCTTCTCTCCACACTCTCCATCTCTCTCCTATATACTCCCTGCCCCCGCCTGCTCCTGTCTCTCTGCCCATTTCTCCCCAAACCTCCACTAAGTAAT